TATCGGATAACACCCATATGTATATTATATATATATATATACATATACATATACATATAATTTAATGTATGTTAGAAAGGTTGTGCTTGAGGCCGGGGTTTGGTGTTATCTGGGGGGTGGAGAGCAAGATTTCAGAAGCGCCTGGCATGTTCTGCTGTTTCGTCACGGTTTCTCAAGTTTTGAGATAAGGGCTCCTTGTCGGGATTTCCCAAGGGCATTGTACGAGATCTCGAAGGTGTTTTCTGGAGTGGGCTTTTTGTCTTACAAGGGTTGCAGAAAGGCATTGCAAGTGTCTTGCTTTGGATTTGGAGCTATGTATGATATATGTCGTTGTGTTTGGCTTGTTCAGTCAACGATTTGGGTTTTCAAAACGTTCGGTTTGGAGTCGTTGGATAGGTTTTGGATTGCTTGGGGATGTCAGGGATTGAGAAATGTAGAACTGTAGCGCCTAAACCCTAAACCCTAAACCGCCTTGATTTTTCTCAAAAGGCTGAGACTAGCTCTTCAGACGATTCACCTCCAATGCCCAGCTCCAAGGCGCTGGAGCTCTGGCATTCCTACCCCTTGAAAAACACCTACGCCCCAAAGCTCAGAGTTCATAAATCCCACAAGATAGATCTCAGGGTTTCAGGGTTTAGGGTGGAGGGTTTATGCGCTGTCCTGTGGAGTTTCCCGGCTGCTTGCAAGAGTCCTGGATGCAAAAAAGGGTTTAGGGTCACCCTAACCCTAAACCCTTATAAGCCTTGCTTCATCGAGTCTAGTTGAAGGAAACATGATCACCAGCGGAAACTCCCCAAGCCTGAAGCCTACGTACACTTACCTGGCCATGGATTGTCGCACTTTGGCTGTCTTGTGTAGGGGGCAACCTATCTTTTCTGGTGGCCAGGATTCCGTCAGAAGAATTTTCAGGCAACCAAGAACGAGTATTGCAGGCCAGAACCGAGGCACACCCTGAAATCGGAAAGCTTCCACCGCTGCTGACTTCGGATCCCAGTTCACTTCAAAGAAGAGACGGGCTGGACTGTGACGATCTTGGCAGCGCTGGTCACTTCCTACCGAATGGCAGGTGTCGCCAGCGAGGACCGCAAAGGGTTCAGAATTGTCATTGTTCGTGTCACTACCTATAGTCTCCATTGTAGTTCTTTGTTGGGGATGCCTTGTATATATAAATCCTTGTTAAACCAAAAAGATAGGAATTACAATGGAGACTGGCGGAAATATGAGTGCTACTGAGAAGCCACCAATCAAGCAAGGGGGTTTCCTTCAAGACTCCGGGTGTAGCTCTTGTTGTTGCCGTTGTTGAAGCGCTGCTGCTGCGGGAGCTAGATGTTCGTTTGAGCTGGTGTCGTTGTTCTTGTCGTTGTGGTGGTGCTGGTGGGGTTGGGGGTGGTGGGCGGACAGGATGCGCAACAAAAGAAAGTGAATGGGCGGCAAAAGCTGAATGACACAAAGCTTCTATCTGTAGCACTTCGTCGTAGAACTGTTACTGAAACACTATACCCGTACTATACACAGTGACGACCAAAAACATACTGAAACAGAACCTCTGCCGGTGCTCCCTGCCTGCCCGGAAACGACTAGATAGACCGGTCATAGGGCATGAGGGTTTTCCCCCGTGAGCGATATAGAAGCCTGAATCATTACCGACACTATTTGTTAGGGTTCCTTCTTATAGCTATACTACAA